ATGTTTTAAAATATATGAGCTTGGGGATTTAGCTTAGTGGCTCACCGCTCTGAAGGAAATAAAAAGACCAAAAAACTGGGCAGACATGTGTACACTTCTGTGTATGTGCGTGTGCTCACATGTGCGTGGGTGCTGTCCATGTGGGGGAGTGCACAGACACACATCGTGAATGTGTGTGTGGAAGCCAGAGGTCAACTGATCATCCACTTTTTGTTTAAGTGTGTGTGTGTGTGTATGGTATGTGTGTATTTGTGGTATGTGTGGTGTGTGTGTGTGTGTGGCTCTGTGTGTGTGTGTGTGTGTGTGGTATGTGTGTATTTGTGGTATGTGTGGTGTGTTTGTGTGGCTCTGTGTGTGTGTGTGTGTGTGTGTGTGTGTGTGTGTGTGTGGTATATGTGTATTTGTGGTATGTGTGGTGTGTGTGTGTGTGTGTGTGTGTGTGTGTGTGTAGATCAGAGAGGTCAATGTAAGGTGTCTCCCTCAATCACTCTCCACCTTACTTTTTTTTGAGACAGTGTGTTGGGGGGGTTCACAGCAGGACTTGGTGGCACACACCTTTAATCCCAGCACTGGGGAGGCAGAGGCAGGTGGATCTCTGTGTGTTTGGGACCAGCCAGGTCTACAGAGTGAGTTCCAGGACAGACAGGGCTACATAGAGAAACCCTGTCTCAGAAAAAGAAAGGAAGGAAGAAAGAAAGAAGGAAAGAAAGAAAGAAAGGAAGGAAAGAAAGAAAAGAAAGAAAGAAAGAAAGAAAGAAAGAAAGAAAGAAAGAAAGAAAGAAAGAAAGAAAGAAAGAAAGAAAGAAAAGGGGCTGGAGAGATGGCTCAGAGGTTAAGAGCACTGGATGCTTTCCCAGAGGTCCTGGGTTCAATTCCCAGCAACCACACGGTGGCCATAGAATGAGATCTGGTGCCCTCTTCTGGTGTGCAGACATACATGTAGGCAGAACATTGTATATATAATAAATAAATATATTTAAAAAAAAAAAAGAAAGGAAGAGGAGACGAGACAGGGTTTCACACTGGAGCTCACTGACTGGCTGGGCTGGGCAGCCACCAAGCTCCAGGGGTCCCCCTGCCGCTGCCTCCCCAGCACTGGGCATACAGGAACACACCGCTGTGCCTGCCCTTTTACATGGGTGCCAGGGCTCAAACTCCGCAAGCACGCGCCAACTGAGCCGTCTCAGCAGCCAGCACCTTCCTTTGGAGGGCTTGTCCGTTAGGAGAGGCTGGCTTTCTGCCTCCCCGGCACTGGGATTACAAGCGAGGGATGGCACAGCCTGGCTGTTTGACACGGGTCCTGAAGATCTAACTCTGGTCCTCAGGCTTGCACAGCAGGCCCTTTGCTGACTGTCTCCACAGTTTCCTTCATCCCCATTTTACAGACAAGGAAACTGAGGTTCTGATGACTCACTTTACCTGGCTAATTTTCAGTAGAAAAGGATTCCACCAGAGTCCTGTGTGTCTCTGGGGGTCTAGACTCCAGGGTGTCGGCAGCCTAGTCCCAGCCTGTTCCTACACTGTCTTCACCGCCTCTGGCCTCTGCTTAGGAGTCTTGCAGGAATGACCTGACCTGGGCTCCTCCTGCCTGGTTCCCCAGTGTCTAGCCTGAAGGATGTAGCAGTGTTTGTTGGCAGATTAAATCTTGTTGAGAGTAGACTGTTCCAATACATACTCAATATCCCTTCCTGTGGGCTGTGCCTCTGACTTATCTGTCCTCCGGCTGTCCCCTAGAGGAAGCCCTTCCCACGGCCTGCCTAGCGCCCACCCCAACGTCTCCTTCATCACAGGAGGTCAAGTCTTTGTCCCTACTCAGATAAACAAACAAAGCAGGCTGATGTGTGTGTGTGTAACTCAGAAGGTCCAGGAGCCATGCCCCGTCCACAGACAGGCTTGGCCTTCCTCCCAGGGTCAGCAGCAGTAGCCTGGGGATGAACGGTGAGGTCGGTAAGACAGGAGGGCCAAGCTCGCCGCCATCTGTGAATGGCTTACTCCAGGCTCTGGGAAGCCCGGAGCCCTGCGGGCTGGGCCATGGGCTTCTTCGTCTCTTCCCACCTAGTGCACACGTAAGCTTGGCACCTACAGGTTGCCTCACCCTGGAGCACCGTGAAGGCGTCCGTACAGATAGCCCCTGACATGAGCTAGCGGCCTCCTCAGTCCAAGCTCAGGAAGAACTCCTCCACCCCACCCCCTGGGACTCTGGGTCTTGCGGACCCTCCGTTCCTACCTTCCTTTCCCCTCCCACACAGTCACATCAGAGCCACAGGAAACTGGGCCTGCAAGTGTGCAAGGTGAGAGCCAAGACGGGGAAGTTTATTCTCCAAGAATCATCTAAACACATGGGAGAGTATTTTTAGTGCGTGGCTCCTACCAGGATGCCAAACCTAAACACGGGGAAGGCTAGGTGGCCCCTTGGGGATAGACACAGCAGACCCCACCCTGTCCCTCGGAGCGGCCTGTCTTCCTGGATGGCTCTGATGAGAGTTGGCTATGGAAGCTTAAGGAGGAACAGCGTGACCCCAGGCTGTGACCCCAGGGTCTGACGGGTTTCTTGGCCCCGTCTGTACTGCAGCTCCCTCATCTGTGCCGTGGAAGAAGTAAAGCCTCACTCAGAAAATGGTAGAGAGACCCACAGGCAGCACACAGTGGGCTTTCAATAAACGTGCTTCAGAGTCTGTGCCGGGAACCTTCCGGAAAAGGGCCAGTGGACCTCGGGGAAGCCTGTCTATGGCCTCTGTGCTTCCCCCAGGCTCGGCATCTGCGGGGAAGCACGCATGTGCACATACAAGTGTGTATATGAGCGTGAGCACCCAACACAAGCAGCTAAGGAGATGAAGGAGAGAGCAAGGCCGGCTGACCCCCTACCTTCTCCAGGTGGGGTCAGCACAGAGCCAGTGAGGTCGCTCAGAAGAGGAAGTTCTGCACTCACACACACCGACAGGAAGAAATGGCCCTCCCTCTCCTGTGTGGGACCATGAGCAGGAGAGCAGGCTGCCCACTCAAGGTGGCCACCACTGAGCAGCTTTGCCAGAGGGGCCTCCTGGATGCTGGATGCCAAGAGGCCTGCATGAGCACTGCCCCACTCTTTCTTCCACTAGCCAGGTAGGTTTATTACGGGGCCAGCCAGGCAGGAGCTGGTCCCATCCGCGCCTTCCCCCCCCCCCCCCCGAGGTGGACAAGCCAGACCTCCTCTGGCCACTTGCAGAGAGCTAGAGCTTCCTGGTTCCGCTGCTACACATTACTCACTGAAGGCCACGTGGAGGGCAGGGTGCAGCGGGAGGGGAGGGGTGGGAGGAGGGCAAGGAGGGAGAGAAAGGAGGGGGAGGGAGGGGAGGAATGACTGTACTGACCCCAGAGCCTGGGGAGCAGGCAGCTGAGATCCCCTGCAGGCTTCGTGGGAACTGAGGGAGCGCTTTGGCGGGGCCACACACCTCCTGCTGACACAGGCTGCCTGCTGTTGCCATGTCTACACAATGCCGCCATCACCACCACCATCACCACCATCACCACCACCACCACCATCACCACCACCACCACCACCACCACCACCACCATCAACACCACCATCACCACCACCACCATCACCACCACCATCACCACCATCACCCCGGCTGCTTGGTCATTGGTGAAGCAGGAAGGTGCTTATTATTGGTCACAAATAGAAAAGGGCGAAGAGAGGGTGGGGGGAGTGGCTGTTTGTCTACCCCGGGCTTAGCTGACCGGGGGTGCTGGGGTCATCACCCCCTCACCCACCAGACACCGGGCCCTCCTAGGCTTCAAGTGTCCGAGTGGTTTGCACCTTCCTATGGTGCACACCTGTCCTCAGCCCTAGTAACCCGGCCCTGGCTCTCCTATTTCCTCAAGGCCTGTGCGACCTCATCCGCACTTCTCATGGTTCAAAACACCAATGTTGCCGTGGATGGTGAGTACTCTCTTTCTGTACACACACACAAACACACACACACATAAACACACCCTGCTGTCCCTCCTTGGGAAAAATCCACTAGGGAGACATAGTTCGGGAGGAAGCCTGACTCTTTTCCTGTCACATCTATTGCTGACCCATGAATCCGCCCCGGATTTGAGCCTGGGAACCTGGGAACTGGCTCTGCCCTGCCTTTACCTCTGCAGCTCTGTGCCACAGGAGACCTACATCTCGACCCTGGCGCAATCCCACCGGTGGATATAATACCCAGAGACGGTCTCCTTCCACCCTGATTGTTGCTGTTCTTCCCTCCCTGCTGCGTCCTGACAGGCCTCCCTCCCTCCCTCCCTCCCTCCATGCCTGAGCACTGTTGAATCCAGATGGCCTCCTTCCCTTGCTGTTGCCTCCCCACCCCCATCCCTGACCGTCCATGGAAACTGCAGCTGCCCTTCCTGGTTTCTGTCTCTCCTTCTGACCTCTCAGCCAGTGTGGGTCTTTTGTCCACGCACTGGTCTGAGAACCCCAGGCGGCTCCCTGTCTTGCTGCTGTCACCTGTCCAGTCCTGCAAGCTCAAGAGATACTTGAGCAAATGAGTGAATCTCTGTTCCCAACCACACGCAGTCCCAGGCTGCACCTGAGGGTGGCACCCAGCACCTCAAGTCAGCTACGCTCAGGCTCCACTGTGGAGCCTCCACCTAGCTTCTGTTCTTGGGCCTTAGTTTCCCCCACTGTAAAACAAAGAACCTGGATCAGAGGGCCTCTGGATTTTTTTTCGTGTTGGTGCGCCAAAGTACCTGCTCTTTCTGAGGTTGGATGTGCGTTGAGCAGGCGAGCAGGCATTCGTCTACACGGGCAGGGTCATTCATACCTGTTTGGGAGAAACCTCCAGGCCTCAGGGTCCCTGCCCTGTCAGGATGGGGTGAAGGGAACAGGGTAATTGCAGAGCTACAAAAGAAAGAAGAAAGAAAGAAAGAAAGAAAGAAAGAAAGAAAGAAAGAAAGAAAGAAAGGAAGGAAGGAAGGAAGGAAGGAAGAAAGGAAGAAAGGAAGGAAGAAAGAAAGAGACTTGCAAAGGATTTCTCCAAAAATATATCCATATTTTATTTTGTTTCATTGGGGGGAGGAGGAGCAGAGGTCAGAGGTCAACATATTTCTGTCCCCCACCCCTCAAGGGCTGGGAATTTAAATTGTGCGCTACCCATATCTTAAGAGTCCCCAAAGTCCAATGTAGGAAACCTAAGGAAAGAGAACCATATCCTCTGAAGGCTGAGGTCAGAGGTCACATATCCGGAAGTGGAGCATCACTGCAGGAAGCTGGCCACCAGGCAGGTGAGTGTAGGGATCAAGAGAGTGGGCAGGGGCAAGGACAGCAGCTGTCCTGGGGCACGGGACCTGAACACCTGGCGATCTCCTAGCTGCTGCAGGGGCCTCACGTTGTCCTTCATATTCAACTTCCTTTCTTGGTCATAGTACAGCTTCGTTGAGAATTCCTGGAACTGTAAAAGAGACCCGGCTCAGAAGGTGGAGCCATGCTCCTCGCCGTGTGACCTCAGACAGAACACCTCGCCTCAGAAAGGAAGAGAGGGGTTCAGAATGACCACCAAGAGTTAAAGTGTGGCATTTGTGGGGACGTGAGAGCCACTGTCTTTCCCTTTCCTCTACTGATACTTTTTTTTTTGTCACTATTGCTGTGGTAGAGTGAGCATCCTTTAGCACCAGCTGAAGGACGCCTACCTAGCCCCTGACCCCAGAATATCTGATTCAATAGATCTATAGTGAGCCTAAGAATGAGTGTTTCTAGAAAATTCTCACTGGTGAAGATGTTGACGTCATGCTTTGAGAATCACCACTGAGAGCCCAAGGGATTTTGGTCCTCTGGGTTTCCTGCTGTCTTTCCAGAGGCTATTGTAAACTTGGGAGTTGTTTGTTGAATGACTTCCTGATACCGCTAAGGAAGTCCAACTTGAGCGCTCCCTGGAATACTAGCTCCCCACACTAACCAGCCAACTCTTTTCCACTTCTCTGGAAGCCTATTCTGAGCACCCTTTCCATGACTTCTCCCAGGGCCCGCAGGAGAGGGGCAGACAGGGCTTTCTTGCTTGTCTGTCTCCCCCAGCAGAAACAAGGACTGACTCAATGACGCTCATCTCCCCACCCCAGGGACTTGAGGAGCTAGCTCACAGGGCTTTAAGGGGCTAGGCTCCATGCGGAAGACTGCACCTTGGCCCAGGCCTGGGTACCTGGTTTTGGTTGAGTTTAATGGGTTCCTGGAACACAGTCCAGATGACGGTCTCACTGCAGTCTGGTGTGGTCAAGGAGCCCTGGTAGCGGAAGTAGTGAACCAGCTTTTCCTTCTGGGGAAGCATGTTCTGCAGGGAGCTCTCCTTCATCGTGGTGTTTGTGTCTGGGGCGGGGGACAAAGTCCCTCACCTGTGGCTCTCGGTCAAGCGGCCGCCCCAGCCCCTCTGCCCCTCCACGGTGGGAAGAAGCCGTCTCTCTCGCCCCCCCCACCAGACTCACTGGGTGTGGAGATATGGGACAGGGCCTCCACTAGGGGCTGGAAGCCCTCGTTCACCTGGTCTCCCACCTGGAACGGGAGCAAAGGAAGCATGAGAGGGGTCCTGGGAGCTGCTGGGGACAAGCAGCCCTTCCTTTCCGGAGGAGGCCAGGCAGCCTCTAGGATTGAGGGGCTGCGGTCCTACCTTCACCATGAATGCCAGCACTGCTATGTTGTCCTTGGCGCCCTGCACCTCATTGCTGGATGGCTCCTTCTTGTGTACGATGTGCATCTAGGAAGGGGGTGTGGGTGGAGGGATTGTAGGAGCTGGACCACCCGTCTGGCCCAGGGCAGGGATACACACCCAGAACCCAGCCGAGGCACCAGTTCCAAGGCTTCTCACCTCCATGGCAAAATGTTTGCCATCGATGCTGTGTTCTGAGCCCCGGTCCGACTCCTTTGACCAGTGGAGGTGCAACTGTTCAGCCTGGTACTGTGCGGGGAGGTCTCCTCCAGCAATGGAGATGCCATCCCCCAGCAACACCTTCACTGGGGGGGGCATGGGAGTGGGCACAGTCCTCACACTGGCCTCACCCGGGCCTTCTCAGTCCCCACCCCAGCTCCTAGCTACGCTGTCTGAAGCCTGGGCCCTGAGGGACGGGGTGGGAGATATAGCCTACAGCCTTTTTCCCTGCTCACCTCATCCACTCCTATACCCATGCCATAATGTCACCCTGACCAGGGCCTCCATGGTGCCCTGGTTGTCCCCAGAGTAATGTCCGAACTCCTTAGCCCTGGTGACCTGTTCTCGGCCCTGGTCAGCTCCTCCCAGCTTCCCTCTATGGCCTCCATCCACACACAGCCTCGCCCACTCGTGGTTCCCCAAACACCCAGTTTCACGCCTCTGTGCTTTTGCAAAGGTCAGTCCCTCCTTCCAGGAACATTTCCTCCCTTCACCTCAACTGTTGCGATGAAGTGACTGAAAACATAACTAGCTAGTGTAGCCTCCTCTCTAGAAGCTTCCCTGGCGGCTCCTCCCACCTCCGGGCCTGAGAAACTCACATCCTCGCAACAGCTAGCCCTGCCTGGGGACGGCGCCCAGCCCACACAAGACCCACCTGAGTGTTTGTCGTTCACAACTTCCCACTTCTTCTTTTGGTTATAGCCAGTGAAGGTGAAGGGCTTCAGGTTGGGGTTGACCTTCGCCTTGGAGGTGTCGATGTTGATGGGAGACTGGTGGTTCTTCTGACAGTCTCCAGGCCACTGGGCAGGCGCTGAGCAGGAAAGAAAGGTCTGAGAGTCAAGGGCACATTGACCCATTGATGTGAGTCAGGGTCTTACAGAATGCTGGGATCTCACAGCAGGGCATGAGTCTCAGAAATGCTGCGCTGGCTGGCCTTCCTCCTCCTCCTCCTCCTCCTCCAACACGCTGACGTAGGTAGGCTGGTGGGTCTGTGATGTGGCTGAGGGTTGGGGGTTGGGGGTTGGGTGGAAGGAGAAGCAGGCTTGCCCTTGATGGATAAGAGCTTGGGTTGGAGTGACCTCATGATGCTGAGCTCCAGCTTTCTCAGTGGGGACCTCGACACTAAAGTTGCTTCCAGGGGGTGTTGGGAAGTTTAAAAGTTGCCAAGTGGGACATGGCTTTTCAGCTTTGGAGACCATGGAGGAGGACTCCCTGGAAGAGCTGTTATGTAAGGAACCTGGACCTGACAATCCCAACATTCAGCCAGGTAGGGGCAAGAGGGGAGCAGTCCCCCAGCACAGCAGGCTACAGGGAAATTGATCAGCTTTCAAAAAAGTGCCAAGGGGCTGGAGAGATGGCTCTTCTTCCAAAGGTCCTGAGTTCAATCCCAGCAACTACATGGTGGCTCATAACCATCTATAATGAGATCTGGTGCTTTCTTCTGGCCTTTAGGCACACATGCAGGCAGAATACTGTATAAATAATAAAAGTCTTAAAAAAAAAACTAGAAAAAGTATCAAGTGGGCAATGGGGATGTGGTTCAGTGGTAAAATGCTTCCTGTCTAGGATGCAGAAGGCCCTGAATACCTCAGCATCCCAACAATGAACAAACTACCAAGAACCATCTCTCACTTCCACCTTAAAGGGCTCTTGGCCAGACTCAAACCTCCAATGCGCTGCTAATTTAGCTCCTGGTGATAACTCACTGTCTCCTCCTGAGTACTGGAAGCGTGTGCGCATGCGCGCCTGTGGGAGGAGCCGACGAGTGCCTGGCAGTACTCACCTATACAGTTGCTGTTGGGCTCCTTGGCTTGAATCTCATAGCACCAGTGTTGTTCTGGAACAGAGACAGGAAGAATGTGAACCCCCTGTGGGTCCTTCGTACAGCCCTGTGGGCCAGAGCCTGGGGGAAACTCTGATGTGAAAACCCCGTCTTGGGGTTGGGGTAGAAGGTTTCTGGGGGTGTGGGATTGAGGTCCCCAGAGACTCAGACTTAATGATCATAGGAATGGCTGGGTGTTGGTGGCACACGCCTAAATCTCAGCACTCGGGAGGCAGAGGCAGGCGGATCTCTGTGAGTTGGAGGCCAGTCTGGCCTACAGAGCGAGTTCTAGGACAGCCGGGGCTACACAGAGAAACCCTGTCTTGAACCCCCCCCCCAAAAAAAAGAAAGAAATGAAACAAATGAAATAAAACAATCATAGGAGAGGCAGCAACAGAGACGGCTCATGTTTTGCCCAGGGTGCTGATCTTCAGAGCTCTCTCTCTCTCTCTCTGAGGTGGCTCAGCTCTGTCCTTGATTGCTTAGCCTCTTGTCCCTCTTCCCTTCTGCCCATAACCAAAGAGGAGGCTCAATTGAGAATGAAGAATTAGGACCATCCTCCTTTCTGGAACAATGGAATGCCTTCCAGCCTTCCGGCCAGGCTGCCTTGCAGAGGTGGGGAGGGGCTGCTGATCTAGGCACATTCGAGCATTCTGCTCCACTTTTCCTGTAGAACCAAACCTGCTCTAAAGATAAGGTGTCCAAGAGAAACAGACCGATGGCAAAAAGACACACAGAGGTCTACAGGAGAAAATGAGTCAGTCACACACACACACATACATACACAGAAAGAGAGAAAGCAACATGCTCTTTCACCAGGGTGAATGAAGCACTTCACTCAAAACTAGAATTCTGACAGAGCCACTTAGGAGCCCTGTGTTTAAGGATGGTCCCCTACTCTCTCTGGTTTTATCATCTGTAAAATGGAGCTAATCTGGCCACCCATGAGACAAGGATTAAAGGAGAGATGGTATGGACCCCCCCCCCCCCGGGCAGCCTATAGTCACTCAGTAAGTTCACAGACAACTCTTCCCCTCCTCCCTGGCCTCCTGTCAGTGAGCAGATGGGCAAAGCTAAGCCAAGGCGGGAGAGGAAGAGACCATGGCGTGAGTTGGAAAGAATTCATGGATGAGGACATTCCTAAGAAAAGTGTCGTATCCCACTCAGCTATGAGTCCCTGGCGCTGAATCACCAGCCTTTCCCTTCTGGGAACTTTGTGGGGTTTTGGGTTTTGTTTTGTTGTTTCGTTTTTTTCTTCCAGTAGCTGGGAATCAAACCCAGGGCCTTGCATGTGCCATGCAAGCGCTCTCCCTCGGAGCTATAGTCCCAGCCCTTGCTTTCTTGGAGATAGCACCCCCTCTGTAGCTCGGGCTGGGGTTCTAGGTGTGAGCCAGTGCTGCTAGCCTCCCTATCTTCTTGTCTGAAACTCTGCAACCCCAAGTCCCATAGGAGCTGTCCCTGAAATGGGGACAAGGTGAGGAGGGAAGCTTAAGACTCATGCTCTTGGTAGCCAGGAGGAACAAGATCCTAGGCTGGAAGAGTGAGCCCTCTAGGAAACTGGCCTCCAAGGGATACTTTGGATTTTCTACTTTCCTAGCTGTAGATCAGAGTTCATTCCTGATGTCCAGCTGGCATGGCCTTGTTTAGCAGGGTCTTCCCAGTGGGAGCTGCTGCCCGGGGGGGGGGGGGAGGGGAGTATGCATGAGCCCACTATGCAGAGAAGGAGGGGCCATGCCCTGTTAGGTGAGCCAACTGTCTGTTCCCATCCTTTCCAGCCTGCTCTGCCTCTATTCTGCCTATTGCTCAATCTCTGCAGAGAAACATTCCTTTGTCTGAGCCTCAGGGCCCTCCAGGGACACAGGCACCACCCCAGACTCTCAGAGCAGTCGCACAGGGACGAGAGGGGCTGTGATGGGCGTCCTGGGTCACTGGGCCTCCGAGGTCCCGGAAGTAGAACAGGCTTCCATGAAGAGCAGTGGGAGCGCGGGGCACTTAGCACTTGGGGCCTAAGGGGAAGCTATTCCTGGAGAAGGCCAGCTCTGAGGGCCAGCACCCTCAGGTGTGCCCCAGGGGGAGCCCCTCTGGGCATTTCTCAGGAATCCTCTCTGCCCTGGCTCTGGCCCCAGCTCCGTGGTTCACAGTGTAACCTCTGATCCACTGTCTTAATCATAGAGACTTTTGACCTGCTTGGCTGAACACTCTTGTAACTACCCTCTCTTCGGGAGGTGGTGGCCAGAAAAACATAATGCTGATGAGGCAGAGGCCAGGGGTCACACTGCATCTTACAGTCAGGTGGCGGCCGGGCTCTGGTCAGCTCAGGCTCCCACTCTTGCTTCTGAAGGGCGAGCGTGGCGGAGAATAACAAGCCTTTAGTCACGCCCACGAAAGAGGAGAGAGGCTCCCAGCTGTGTCCTGCCTAGCCCCAGACCGGGCACTGGGCTTAGAGACAAAACACTGGCCTCCACACGGCCTCTGTCCTCTCCCCTTACTTCTACTCCCACCCCTCCCCCTTCTAAGGTAGGTCTTTATTTTGGTTCATGGTTGGGGGGGCCTTTAAGGGAGGACTGACTTTTAATGGACCTTGCTCACCACCCCACCCACACTCTGAGGGAAGCGGGAAGATTCCTGCAACCAGCTCAGTAGAACCCGAGTGTCCTGGGCAAAGTCTCCGCACTTCCTGGCTAGGGGCTCTGGGACACCGGAGGAGGGAGCTATCCTCTCTCTGTGTCTGTCTCTCTCTCCGCAATCCCTGCAGGACAATGGGTAAAAGATGGTGGTCCCTGCACCAAAGAAACCGGACCAGCTTGTGTGAAGAGGTCAGCTGAGGTGGACTCGTGCCTGCACCGCCCCAGGTCACCGCCGAGGCCTCCTGACTACCTTGTAGGGCGTTTCTGTCCAGAGCCCGAGGGCACTGCCTAAGCTCTCCTACCCTTTATCCTTAGAACAAGCACCCCAGGAGCAGAATTACTAAACCTGCCTTGTAAAAGGACAGAACACGTTAAACGACTTCCCCAAGGGCAACAGCTAGGAGGTGCCCGCTAATTTAAAAAAAAAAAGTTTTTTTTTTCCTACTAAGTCGTTTCAAATGTTCAACCTTACCTCCCCCCCCCCGGCCCCCACCCTTCTGCCTTAACGTTGTGTTAATTGCTCTTTTCCCACCCCTAGGAGGGAGCTTTGGAACTGTTGCTAGATGCCTCACATCCCCCAAAGCTAAGTCCCTCTGGCAACGGGGAACACTCTGTCTCTCTTCCTCTGCGGCTGAGAGCTCCCTCCGCCGCCCCCACCCCCATTCCAAGGGCAGAGCACCTAACTCAGGATGGGAGGTTCGGCCTGCTGGACGGGAAGGCTTGCCTTGAGGACTGATTGGAGAGGCCTTTGTGGAGAGCTCCGGGGTAGCGGAGAAGGTGCCAGCCGCTAGAACCGCCTTTAGCTCCTTATCAAATATTAACACGCCTCTACCGCCACCTCCCACCTGGAATAATTAAGAGCTCGTTCTCACCATTAATCTTTAAACGAAAATCACCTTGTCCGGAAAGACCGGCTCGGCCGGGGACTTGGGTCTCAGGATGCCCCCCGCCAGGCACCCAATCCAGCGCCGGGGGTAGGGGAAAAGGGAGCTTGAAGCCCAAGAGGCCAGGACCCCAGGGTCGGGAGAGGGGAACCCCGGGACCCCAATAAACCCAACCAGCTGCTCTTGTTCTGGCCGGACCACAGCTACCGGCAGGACAGACGGCCGCTCGCCACCCACGGGTGCGGAGAGGAGGGTGGGTCCAGGCGGCTCGGGGACGCATCCCCGCCACGGACCCCGCCACGGCGGACGCCCCACGGCCGCGCACTGGCGGGCGCGCTCCCCCGCAGCCGCCTGCGGACACGTGTAGGCGCACACGCTTGCGCGCACAGCCAGGTCCGTTGCACGCTCAGGGCTCCCGGCAGGGACCACGAGCGGCCGGAGCGCGCTGGCGAGGGGAGCGGGGACCGGGGAGCGCCGAGGGTCACCCCAGGGTACCTGCGGTAGAGCCGGCCGCGCAAGCCAGCGCCAGCAGAGCGAGAAACGGCTGCATGGTGCCTGATGGCAGACACGCTGCTGCCCAGCCCGGGGTCAGGCACCGACGAGAGCCACCGCAGGCGTCGCGAGCATGCGGGTCGAGGCTTTATAGCGGAGCCACGACGGGAGGGAGCCCCGACAGCGGGACGTGGGAGGCGGCTCCTCCTCCTCCTGGCGGAGCCTCCCCTCTCCTCGTCCAGTCTCAGGTCTGAAAGAATCCTCTCCCCGCCTACCCTGCTGCCTTCTCTTGGGCGGTGAAGGACCCCACACCCGGTCCTCATCTCCAGGGCTTGGAGGTGGGGGCTGGCCACCCTGGCCCCGTCCTGCTCCTGATCACTGATCGGGAACGGAGACGGGCAATCCTCAGGTACCTGACCCTCAGAGGTGTCTTCCCGGACTCGTAGCTCCCATCACGTTGCCACCAACCGCTGTACAGAGTCTCCTAATGCATCCTTGGAAGGAGCTTGATTTGGGGCAGGGTGGATGGAAGCGGCCTTGGGGAGACAGAGCATGCGGAGGGTTTGTTGAAGAGGTGCTTTGTGAGAAGCTACTTCAGGCAGCGGTAGCAGATTCTCAAGTCTCGTCGCTTTTTCCTCCCGGGCTGTTCCAAACTTGATTTTGTTTTGTGTTTTATTTCTCGGCACTGGAGATGCTGCTGCTGCTCCTCTTCCTTCTCCTCCCCCTTCCTCCTTCTCTTCCTCCTTCTTCTTTTCTTCCTCCTCCTCCTTTTTCTTTTCTTCGTCATTGTCGTCATCGTCCTCCTTCTCCTCCTCCCCCTTTCTTTATTTCTCATGCTAGGCAAGCACTCTACCACTGAGCTACATCCAAACTCAATTCTCAGGAAACCAAGACCCGTCTTCCAAAAGTGAGCCAAGCTCCCCAAACTGCTGTTTACAGCTGGTCCTTGTGCTTAGCCAGGAAGATGGGGTGGAGTGGAGAGGAGGAGGGCTGAGAAGGGTATGGGATTAAGGGGACAGGAAAGTCAAGTGTGTGGTGGCGGCGGTGGTGGGGGGGGAGACAATGGGGAGACAAAATCGGCTTATAAAGTGGCTTGCTAGGAAACCCCCCGGTGCCATTGGGGGAAGGGGGGCTGGGTGCCATTGAGGTCTTCTGACCTAGTAGATGAGAGTTGGGAAGAGGAAAAAAAAAACAAGGGTGTGAATGTTCCCTTAGTTCTCCCATCACTCGGGGAGCGTCCTCAGCAAAGAAAGATTCCTCGCGTAAACTGTCTCCCGTATCCAGAGAAATGAAGTACTTGTTTCCAGGCAAGAACGTCCTGGCAGCCCTCTCTGCGGTGGCCCATTGCACCTCACAGGGAGTCCCCGTGCATCTCTGGGAAGCTGGGAATCTGGGTCCGGGCTGGGTAGATGGACAAGGAGTCAGGCAGTACACCTGGACTCCTCCATCAACAGGAAGCCCCGTTTTTTCTGGTCCAGCTACTTCCCTATCCGTTGCCAAATTCTCATCACCCTCTCCCTGCCTGGACACCAGCCTTTGAACCTCTGAAGAGGAACGGCTCCATCAGAACAATCCAAGCAATGGGGCTTCCTCCCTGGTTGGAGTCTGGCTTACTCCTCTCTCTGGCCTAGGATCACACAACCTACAATCTACCCGGGGAAGCTTTGATCCTACGGAGAGGTTGGGGGAGGGGTGTGCCCATCAGGCTTGGGGTCTTATTGTCTGCTCTGCTCTGGAATTTAACCTCTGACCTGGGATCATGACATTCCACCCTCTTTGAGCCTTATTTGGAGAGTGGGTTTGTGTTTGTGTGGCTGAAAAATATGTTTCAGGAACGAAGGGGGAGGAGTTAAGGATCCAGGGCGTCACCCAGGTCAAGCTCCCGACAAACTGGAGACATTTGCTAGCCTGAACAGGATACTATCGATCACTGATTCTATATTCATTTCAAAAGACCCTGGAGAGAAGAATGTGGGAGGCCAGGATGTGTTCAGGCTGCCAGGTGGCTCCTCTGAGGAAGGTACTTCTGAGGACACACACTACCTATGATACCTCAGAGTCTCACCAGTGTTTCTGTCTGACACCTCTGACTCCCCAGCTTTCCAGGTGCCCCGGCTATCACATCCTCCTCCCTACCCCCATCTTCCCCTGTCCTATCATTTCCAGTCCTATCTCCAGACCTGGCCTGCCATAAACCTGTCACGTTGTCCAAGCATCTGGGGCCCAGCTTCCCCCAAAAGGAACCAAGCCTGATCTAGGATAATCAGAGAACTGGGCACTGGGGTGGCCCAGGGACTTAGAGGACCATAAAGCTGCCAGCCCAAGCAACTCGATGGGAAAGCCCCAGCCCTGAGGCACGAAGTCAAAAACTCAATGTCCGGAGTTCAAGTCATTGCTCAGGGATGGCCTTGGGCAATTCCCCCCCCCCCATTGCAACTTCCTCCTCTATAAAGAGGGGGTGACACAGTGGTAATCATGCCCCCATGACTTTTGCCAATAAACAGTTACCAGGAACCACCCAGTCTAGGTTTTCAAGACCAACTTTGTTAGGGCCTGGGTGTGACTGCTGGCCCAAAGGATATCCAAAGATGAGTCATAGTTCTTGTCCTCAGGTTTTCATTTGTGTGGCCGTGTCTGTGACTAGGGGGGCGGGGAAGCTAATGACTCCACCTGAGGTCAAAGTAAAGCAGAAGAAAAAGACAGAACAAATTATGGGGACCGGAGAAGGGAAAGGAACTGTTGTTATTTTTTTTAATGATGCACACAACAGATAAGATATAAAAGAGGTTTATTGGATAGAGATGGAGAGAGAGAGAGACACGGTGAGGGCTACCCACCCCCAGAAAAAGGAGAGAGAGCAAGAACAAGAGAGGTAAGGGGCAGAGGTCCATTTCTAGCTCCTGTACGGGCCAGGTGCGTCTGCTACCTATATATATATAAAATTAAAGCTGCTCATATATATATATATATATATATATATATATATACATATATATATGTATATATATATATCCTTTATATATAAATAAACATTTATAAGTAATATATTTATAATAAATTTATATATAAATTTATAATACTTATATAATATATAAATAATTATTTATAATATATTTGTAATAAATAAAGAAGCTTTAATTATATAATATATAATTATTATATATTATTACATATTATATGTATTGTATAATATATTTTATATATTATATGTCATATATATATAATTAAAGCTCCTTTTTTAGTAATTAAAAAAGAAATGAGGAGCTTGGACTGCTTCTCATGTAAGGCAAGTTAAAGTATATAAATGTGGGTTCATTGGAAGCAGCTCTTGGTTGCCATGGAAGGGGTTAAGAGAGAAAGAGGGAAAAAAGTAGGAGCACCAAAATGTGTAGATTACATGGTGAGGAGGAGAGGAAGCACCTGCCCTGAAAGTTTAGGATAGAGGGTCGAGTTTGCCAGCCATACCCAGAGGCAGGGACTGAGAAATGCTGGGAGAACCTGGAGGTGTCGGGCCTGGGTCTGAAGCATACCATTCCAGCCTTTTGTTGAGGATAAGTGGGTAATTTATTCTCTTCTGGATACTTCTTGCTGACACTAGGGCGCCTGTAGAGAGGTCCAAAGGCTGAAATGCTGGCCAAATCCAGGAAGAACAGGCTGTTTTGATGCTGTTCAGGGTCTGTGAGAACATCGTGGCTGGGAGGGAAAAGTGCAGGTCCAGCTTGCCACAGTCTGTGAGTTTGGAACAACTGTGGTAGCTGCTTTGGTGCTGTCCTGGATGTAGGAAACATCTAGGTCTGGCAGGATACTGGACAATATATATAGGCAGAAGACAAAGTTAAGAAGGTCATGGGGAAAATTCCTTTAGGTGTACATCTAAAACTTTTGGGAGAGCAAACAGAAGATTTGGAGGAGCCTTGAACATGGGAACCTCCATTTACCCGATCTCTGACAGTAATTTTAAAAGTTTTGTTTTGGATCTGTCATCTAAGGAATATTGAGGCCAAATTTGGTTGCAGAGGCGTGTAAGCTTAGAGGCCCTTAATATAGGTGCTAGGTATAGAAATCTGAAATTCTCTAAAAGACCTCCCATAGGAGAATCCTGAGGAATGGGCAAATGGACAGGTAGGAGTCAGTGATCTGTCAAGGCCTCCCAAGACCAAGGTTTGCCTCAGTAGATTAGTATGGTACATCATAGGTTACTAGGCAACCGAGAAGCAGGCTGCTTAAATGCTACTAGGAGCTCGTTAGCCTAGGGTCTGGTTGAAATCTCTCCTTAGCTTCAAGAATTCCAGCACTTTTTGCCTCTCTCCTTATTTGTAAACCTGCAGTTTAGGAATCTCACCAGAAACCACCATTATAGAAACTCTTGGTGGTGCACATGTGTAATCCCAGCACTCAGCAGGGCAGAGGCAGGAGGATTTTTGTGAGTTCGAGGCCAGCCTGATCTACAAAGCAAGTACAGCCAAGGCTACATAGAGAAACCCTGTCTCAGAAAAAACAAAACAAAAACAAACAAACAAACAAACCAACCCCCTGTTATAGAGTAAAAGGATTTGTTCTTTGAGCCACTAAGTGGTTCTTGGTTTTAACTCCAGATGTCACCTCCAGAAACACCCCATAATCTCTCTTACCAAAGAGAAAATAAAAGGCCAGTGACACAGCTCAGTGGGCAAAAGCACTTGCTGCCATGCTGCCAGCCCGAATTCCATCCATCCCCAGGACCCACGTAGCAGAAGGCTCCTGAAAGTTGTCCTCTGACATACAGACCACACACATACACACACACACACACACACACACACACACACACACACACACACGTGTGCGCTCACAGAAATACATGCATTTTAAAGAGTCAGGGGGAAAGTAAAGTGTTCTTAGAGCCACCAAATGTAGCTAATGCTAAGATGCTTAGCCGTGTCTCCCCTCACCCACTCTTGGGTGTGTCATGTTCCCTTCCAGGGCGCTTCTCCTTCCCTTGACCCTCTCCTCCCACCATGGTTCAAAGCAACTTGCCTTTGAGAAGCCCATGGCCATGCTCTGAGGTGTATTTTTATTCTTTTCTTTGGTGCATTTCTTTCTATTTTTAGTAATGCCCAACTCTGCTTCATACTGGCTATTTATGAACTTCTTTTTC